CGGTATTTTATGCTGCTAAACGTCGTAGGACATTAGGTAAGCATGGGTTCGAATTATTATAATTTCCCCGGAAAATTTAGGGGTTGAAATTTAAAGGTCGTCAATATTGAAATTTCTTTGCAAAAAAAAATTGCAACTTTTTTACAATGAGGGGGTCAGATGTTGTAAAATAATTGCAATTTTCTTGCAAGAAAGTTGAAATCATCTGGAAATTTTATTTCATTTAAATTGCAATTTTTTCGTTGCAAAATGCTACTTGGGTTTGAAATAGTATGGACTAACTCCGGAGATATGCGCTTTGGAAGCAGACAGAGATGCAAAAGCCATACAATTGTTGTACCTCAAAATGTTTGTCATGAAAATGGGTTTGGAGAACAGGTTGCGAGTTGGTCATTGATTCCAGGCTCGGCAATTCTGAGAAGACCATCATGACAACATCTGTTAAAATGGCCGTTCACCTCCTCTTTTTTGAAATTCAAGGCATCACAATACATGGCACTTCACATTTAAAAGTCCGAAATTATTTTCCGGATAATCACTTTCGATAAAATTATCAGTGCTCTGCCGAAATGAATTGAGGTTATTTCCCTGTTCACCCCTACGTCGTACATTACCCATCTCACTGAGATAGCCATCATGCCGCACTTTGCGTCGCGCGGATAAATTGCGAGAAACATTGCCACGCTTCGCCGGACGCCCACGCTTTCGACTCCGATCCATTCCCAATATTAAAACGAAGACGCGCACTTTACTAAAAATTCGGGATTCTCAATACACGACAACAAAATTCAAAAGACGACGCGCACTGTACCAAAAAATCGGAATTCTTCATAAACGACGAATGTCCATGATAACGAACGCCTCGGGCAGCCGAGTCATCAGCTGACCGAGAACGAACAGCACGGGGAAAACGAAAAACCGCGTATCTCCTAGCGAGACGAACGGTATAACCGTTTTTCCCGAGGGGGCGAGGGGGGCCAGGCACGCCGGCCGATCTCTATTTTTTTCCCGCCGTCGAGGGACCGGGACGGTCGAGCCGGTACCACCCGCGCACGGATCGGCCCGGCGGTTCGCGCTGAATTTTGACGCAAAGAAAAGGCTTACGGAATTATATATGGTGAAAATCACGTTCATCTTGCAAACGAACCATTTCACAGAATGAGAATCTTCTTTTAAAAAATCCATGGTAACTTTAAGAAATAGTGTGTCTTTGCTTTGAGTTTTTTTTCTATCCTTTCTTTGGTCATCTTTATTTAAAAAAAGAATATGCATTAAATCTCCCTCCCCTTTCCCTCTAATTACATCAACTTTCAAGAATGAACGCAGAACATTCTTAACACATATGAAAATATAACGTGAAACTACAAATTTCGTGATTTCGGCAACACTGCTCCGGTTCGGAATCTCCAAAATTAGACAGAAAAAACAGCTGATCGAGACGCAATAAAAGAAGGGAAACCACGACGACCAGACGACGACGATCGATCGCGGAACACCGCTCTAACAGACGGGTCACCCTTTTTTAGCGTGTTTTCAACCCTTAGAATCAAAATTTCGAAAATCGGACGACGAAGTGCACCCCTTCAGCACGAACCGCACATGCGTACAAAGTTTCAAGGAAATCCGCCTTCGGGAAGTCGCTGAAACATTGGGTACAAAATTGGGGCCTCTCCTTTATAGTTATAGAAGATTTCTTAATCTATTCTCATTTTGGACCGATGGAAATGACAATTTACTCTTGATAAACCACAATTAGGTAATATTTTCATTATTCTTGTTCACATTCGAGGTACCGCCATCTTGGTGCACTCGTTTCGGCCTCCATGAGCGAGAACCAATCAGAATTGGATTTTTTTTTAGGCCACTTTCAGCCCAACCAAAAGTGAGTTGTCTTAACTCTGGGTATAAAGGGACTCTAGGATAAAAGACATCTCACGGATTCTCCTCTGCCCTCCTGCGGAAGATTAGATACTCCTGAACACACATTTTTTGCTAGTAAATTAAACGAAACAGATAGGGAGAAATTAGAAAAGGAAATCAATCATCAAATATGTGCAAATAACTTATTACAACTTATGTTAGAGAATAGGAAATACTGGAACTCAGGATACAATTAGGTACATTAAGAATACTTTAAGATAAGAATAAAATGTACCTAGAATGATAAGATAAACAATATTATACCAAAGCCTCCCCCTCACCTACACCCCGACGTAATGCCAACAGGCGGTTCCGGGGCCTCGATATTATAGATATAGACTAAGACCAGACAATTAGGATAAAATTTATAATTATTAAGACTCTTAAAAAAAAAAAAAAAAAAAAAAAAAAAAAAAAAAAAAACTCATCATCGCAATTTTTATAGTATATTTTTTTCTTTCTTTCAAGTTTTAAATACTTCTATGGTGCCTACCTCTATAAAATAGACAATAGACAAATTCTACAACTTTACTTCTACCACAACCTTTCACCCTTGATTGCGGAATTGAAGGCGTAGATAGTGGTATTCAGGATTTTCATTTTTTTTCTTTCTTTGAAGGTGGTAGGTTAATGTACTTTATTTTTAATTTAAAAGAGGAGTTTGATCAATTTGAAAACAAACCAATATTCACCAACTCGATTCCTAATATGGAACAAGAAGTAGGTATCCCTAAGTGAACAGATATTTTTCTTAAGGCCTCAAGGGCCAAACAGAGACATTGAATAGAGGGGCCAAAATCCAATTAAGTCTCGAGAAAAACAGAAAAAAGTTCACTCAATCTTTTGAACCTAGTTTTAAGAGGTGCTCTTCAGATGTATTCATTTTTTGGGCTTAGGTAAAAGACTGAGAGCCCGTTGAGTGGCAAGGTTTCTCTTTCTTTTCTCGCAACTTGGGATTTTGCCCTCGGGCCCTTAAAAAAATATTGGTTGAAATGCAAAGTTTTAAGTCTCTGCCTATGTTTTATTTTTAGAAAGGAAACTAATTAAAATTCTCTTCAAAAGTCTCTATGAATATTTTTGAACAGTTGAGGATGAAAATCCACTCGAAATTTTAGGTAATATTGTTTAATAGGTAGCTGGTTATTAACGAGAAGATTTTTCAACATTGCAATTGAGAGATACATTTTTTACTGAAGCCACTGATTTCAGTAAACTGGGAGTTGCATTTTGATGCCTAAGGTATGTATTAAAATCGGTAATCAGTACCATTTATGAATTCCGAACGGAGGATGGGTAATTTATTAAATCAAGCTTATACCTATATATACTATTTTGGGAATTTAATACCTATTGCTGTCACGAATATTTTACTTTTCCAGAAATTAAAAAAACATGCACAACAGCTTCATGTTTTCGAATTTTTTTATATTGTCTTTTAAAAATCTCAACAATCGTAGAACCAATTTCTGGAACGCCACGTGAGAAAGGCCCCGTGAAGAAGATGAGGTTCACCTTCTCGTTCATAGACGTGCCGCAGTTTTGAAATTTCGCGGTAGTGAATATTGTGCGTAGTTACAAATATTGCTCAATAGGTTGCAGTGCGCTGGTGCTCTAGTTGTCAGTTGTCACTGTCACTGTCCTGTCAGTTACAAAGTTACGTCATGGATGAATATATACTAACGTACATTATAATGTAATATCTTCGTCCATGGTTACGTTTTTTGACGCATTGACGCGCCGCTGCAAAGCTGTTTACGAAATTTGCCCGTCATCTAAAGCTCATATTTTGAAGTTAAATCGTGTTTTTTCTTAGTGTAACTTCCGATAGATTGTCTGTTAAAGTGTTTTTCATTAGCACCTGGCAATGGTAACCCAGAAATTCTCCCCAGAAGCTTTCAAATTTGATCATCTCTCAGGTTGAGGTTAACTGCTCTTGAACTTGTAAAAATGGGCATTATCTTATCAAAATTCAGAGTAAGTCATGTTATTTATAACTCAAGTCATATTTTTTCTTAATTGCTCTCAGATCCAATCTGCCCTTTAATGGCCTGACAGTTTCATTATGGTTTTTTTTCTTGGTCCAATAGCAGATACATCTTTTCAGTACCGAAGTATGTAATCCCCTTGCATTTCTAACACCTGTGTTTAATTTTAGATCCCAAGCTAGAATACCTCTGGCAATCAGCCAAAATTTTATTCAGCTTTTCCAATTTGTATTATGTTGGGTAATCAAAATGTACGGCCTTTTCCCTCCCATCTGAAGTAAGTTGTTTCTCTTCCGTTTCACTCTAATCATCCCTCATTGTACAATTTTGGCGCGTAGAACATGAGACCGTCACAAGTTCTTATCTGAAGTATGTAACTTGCTTAGACATCAAATTCTTAAATAATGAGCTGATAAGGAGCTTCTTTATTCCATTCAACCCAGCATGTGTCCAACTTACCATAAAAAATCCTATGATGTGGCACATTTATTGCTGTGTATTGCAATGAAACCAGTCTCACTTTTATTTGGTCAGAGTTTGGACTACAAAAATTAAATTTGGCAATCTTAGAACCCTATTAGATTGTTAGTCTGAGAAACTTAGCTTTGAGCTCTGTTAAAAGGTTGGAGAGGTATGAATCAACAGAAAATAATGCCTCGCTAGCAACGTAAGTACATAACAGAGGCATATAATGTGTAAACGGTCTGGTGAGAACTCACAGAGATTGCACCAGGCCATGTATCAAAAAATCGTCTGAATGCAAGGCCCAAACTTTCAAAGGACTGGAAGGAAAGTTGCGACTTCAGCATCCATTCCTTGTAAAGTTTAACTTTTTGACAATTATCTGTTTCTCATTTTTCAGAAAAAGAAATCCAGTGAAGAAGTCTTGGAATCTATTGAAGAGGTAACTTTATGACGGAACAGTTTTACCCAAATATTCAATTATAATTCAAAAGTTTTGAAAACAAAATATTTCTCTTGCACTGTAGCAAAACATTACTCTAAAATCATTTTTTAAGCATAACTTAAGTCGAGATCAAATCAGCTATGTCGGCACAATTCATGGTAAAGCAAACATATTAAATCTAAAGGGGACAGCAGCCCTAAAATCGAAAGTGAGATAGTATTAAAAATTGAAGCGGGAAGGTATAAGAAGCAAAATGGCTCTGTCCCGAATGATAAATTCGCAAAATCGGCAGAGATATGAAAGATTGTAAGTCTGACTGTTGACATCATGCACTCCTGGTGCGACTGCGGCTCACACGCACACAACTCGAAGTCTTGCGCGTTTGCTGTCTGTTGCCGGAAAGTCGCCCTAAGCAAAGAAAAAAGAATAGGCCCGGAACCAATAACTTGTCACGAACTTCCTGTCGGCCACTTGACACTGGAGACAGAATGCAGACTGCGAAATGCGAGATTGAGCTCATGAAGTCACGCGCTCAGCTGTTTTTTGAGGTAACGGCTCAACGAATGTAGATATTCGCAAACAGATTTCGGCATTGTTCATCGTACAATTTTCTTCATCGATGTAGTCAAACTTGTTTTTAAGGTTGCCATCCCCTTTAAAAGTTGCTCTCAAGAAATTTCAGTATTGAGTCAGTCTCAGAAAATGTTAGCATAACCAAAGCTATAGTCATTTACTTTTCGATTGCGTTTTATGCAATATTCTAGGTTTTTTTCCTAGAAATTTTATTTGTTTATCAGTTCCTTTTTAAAAAATCAGGAGAAGTAACTGTGGCAGTTGACTGAATCATTTAATTAGGGTTGTTGCCTTGAGGTAATCCTCATCTCACCAACGGCACATTCATAATTTCCAAAACTGTCAAAGCTTTTTGAAAACTGTCTAGTATTATTACTTTTCAGACGATCAGCAGCATCGAAGAATCTCAAAAAGAGTCACAGTTGCAACAGAAGAAAATCAGACAATTTTCCTATATATCAGTCACATTTTTAGTTATCGCAGCTTTCTCATATGTCTACTTCTTCTCCAAAACACTCCGGCGCCCTCAAACCGTGCTTATTATCATACCAGTTTTAGTCTTGTGAGTATTTCTTTGCTCTCCATAGTCATATTTTATTCCTGATAACTCAAGTAGGTACCATATAAGTTACACTTCTGAAAGACGTAAGAAATTGTTTTAAATAAAAAGGAAATTTTATTTCGCTGAACTCTGAAGTAAAAATTCTTCTTTGAGTAAAAACTTTCTTGGAAACTCAGAAAAAGTAGTTTCCTACATTTCATGGTATAATTTTTCTCTGGGAAAAGGTGCATCAAGCATATGATAAAATTAAACTAGGTAGTTTATCATACTCACATGGCTGTATTTCTCGCTTGCAAAAGATCCATCATTGTTGCAGCTTGTTGCAGTCATCATAAGCTATTTAATTTATTATGGAGATTCCTTAATGGCAGTCAAAACTGTGCCTAACTCTGGTTTGAAGATTGAAGCATTCTTTAAAGCTCTCAAAGGCCATCAATTTTCTTTCAAGTCGTGAAATGTTGAAAGTTTTTATCTCTGCTTATATCAGTTTGCTTGGACATATGTAGAGAACCTCCATTTAAAAGGGCTGTACTTTCCTAGTAATATTCACAACGTGGACATTTTTCAAGGGTCCTCAGATTAACTGCGAAACAGAGTCACGGTTAATCTCCTAGGATGAAGGTAAAGCCCTCAAAATACGTCCTGTCTGTGAAATTTATTGTGTATGCGCAAATGGGTTCTGAAATAGTGATAGGTAGTTGAATTTTATGTGTCTTTTACTCACAGCTCTTGCATGAATAATATTTTGTCTCCTTGTTGGGTCACATATCATAGGGACTAACATTAAGCCAGGGGTGCAGAAAACGCCGAATGACATCCTCGGGCGGGCGCACGAAAATACGGAAAACCCCTCAAAAATGTGGAAGGAGGGAAAATTATAAAGAAACATTAGTCAGAAATCAACAAAAAACAGGAAAGAGGTCATCTTTCTTTCAATTGGTGGGAAATTTTGTGGAAAACGGATGAAAAAAAATGTGGAATTAAAGCCCGCGGGCAGGCGTGTGAAAATGTGGAAGCTTGGAAGATTCTGCACCCCTTCAATAAGCCACGAGAAGTGCTCTGACACGTGGTGGCCCTAAAAAGAGCCATTGGGAAGGGCAAGCCAGCCAGCTGCAAGGTGTGTCCCAAATGACTGACGGGTGCAGAGTGTGCACAGGTGATGAAATCGCGGCTTATATAGCTGCGACTGCTGCAAGGTGTAGCCAATCAGCTGCTCTGATAGGAAGAGTGGGTGGCTTGCCGCCACAAACACATAGGTGTAAAGTTATATAGGTATGTTGGGAAGTAAATAAATGTCAAGGATTCTTGTTAAAACTGATTAATTTACTGCAACACTAATTAATAAGCTCTTTTTATTGTTTCAGAGGGGAAGTCTTAAGAAGATTTATTACATGGTATTATCAAAGAAAAATAAAGCAAACTCAGAAAAAATTGATTGACTTGCGCGCTCAAAAAAAGAGAATCCTTGATGAGGTAATGAATAATGAAACTTTCAACAAAGCCAAAGAAATTTTGGAGAAATATGCGCCGGATCAGCTACCAAAAGGATCAGGCATGGTTGTTCCTTTACTTGTGAGTAATTCTGATATGTTGCGTGTCATAATTTTATTATTTAATCGATGTAACTGCAATATAATCAACACATTTTGTCTGTAAATGATGTTGTGACTTCTGTGTTATTAACACTAGTTACATTGCCGCCTTATTATCTTCAGTAGTCAATAGAAGTCTCTGTTTCTGAGAGTTTAATGATGTACACAAACAGGAAAACTGAGTTTGTAGAAGCATTGCAGAAAGAATACTCTTTCTATGTATTGACAAATTAGCTCAAGGTTAGTCGTTTTGTAAATGGAGGAATTTTGGTTCCTTATTGACAAATACCATCCGTATGAATCCAATTTACTACTATCTGAAAACATTTGTAATTTTCTTTGGCAAGGTATGAAGTATTTTTAAGTTCCAAAACTCATGAACTCCGAGTCTCTAGAGAGGTTGAAAAGAGAATCTTGTATTCAGGTATACTTTTGTCTATTTGCAGGGTCACAGGGCCACACCAGTCAGTGGAGCAAAAACGCCCGCAGTCAATAACCCTGCAAAGAAAAGTTTGTTTTCTCCCGATAAATCAGTAGTTCCTTCCCCGACAGTCATCAGTCGTCGGTCTCTAGTCAACTCACAACCTTCTCACAGTAAGTTGCCTTAATTTATTGAGTACTAATTGGACAACGTTTAGCAGAAAGAAACCAAGCCACATCAGCTATTGCCAAGATTGACCGGGCAACTTGATTTTTTACAAGAGAACATTTGTGCAGATTCCTTCAACATTTTTAAGGAATTTGCCTCGCATTATGATGAAAATTTACTGAACTTCGCATAAAAATCCGCACAACCACTCTCATTTAAAGAATTAAATTGCCCAATTAAATTTGGCAATAGCTGATGTGGCTTGGTTCCTTCCTGCTTAACACGGCCCGATTTGCTTTTGACCATTACTTAGAGCTTCATCAGTCAATAAGTAAATGAACTTAGAACCATAGACATGTAGTACTCATTCCTGTTCATTCCATTTTCTAACCATTGCATCACTCATTGATTTTGATCTCAATTATGTCCGAGCAATTTTACTTAATCTTTAGGAGCAATGCTGTGAAATGCAGTGACCCTGTGCTCAAATATGCTTCGTGTACTATATGCTTCTCTGAAGATTGCCCTTGACGAAATCATCAACAGGTGCTACTCATGACGTCATCAATGGAACTTTCTGATGGTATCAATGGTTGTTTCAGATAATATCATTTATGGAGGCCTCTCATCCCATAGGATGGAGCCCTGAAATGGAGAGAGAGGACCTTCTTCAGCCAGTGAGGCAGAGCTGTAGAAGGCTCCCCCTCAGGCAATGACTTCAAGCCCAAGGAGGGGGGGGGGGATAATAAGTAAAAAAGTAAATTGAAATTTCTTGAAAACTCATGATTTGTAAACTAGGAAAATAGTCTTTATTTTTGGTTTTATAAATTCTCATATTATACTTATTAGATTCCCCTTTACTTTGAATATTTTTAATGAATAATTAATCTGTTCTTCTGAGGAGTATTCAATTTTTTTTTCTTTTGTTTTTTACAGATTTACCAAGACCCATTTTACCCACGGAGAAAACAATTTTGGAAAAATTAGTGGAGTTGATCGTGGGTGACGGGCCCAGTCAAAGATTTGCATTAATCTGTAGTGCGTGCAATTCACATAACGGCATGGCTCTGAAGGAAGAGTTTGAATATTTAGGTAAGTTTCCTTTCTTGGAGTTTTTTTACTTCTTCTTCCTCTTCTTTTAAGTAATATCCATTCAACTCTTGACTTTTTTGAAAATTGCTGGAGTTCAGAATCTTTGTAATGAGCGAATATTATACTTGTAAGCTTTTTCTCTGTAGGGAGAGAATCAAACTGGTTTAAAGTTCTAAGTTCAGATCCACTTTCAATTTTCCTTGCGAATTTTTTCCTAATCATAATCATAAATTATGAGGTGTTAAATACTATCAGTCATGAATCAAATCTGTTTAGTTTAGATGTTTGGCCAATGTATTAGTTTGTTATTCAGTGAAAATGGGTTGACTGAGGAATTAACTCATGGCAAATCTACTCAAATCTACTCAATCCAACCATTTTTAAAGTTGTTAGTGAGGAGGAAAAGAATAATAACGTCACCGAATAACCGAATTTGTATTTCATTGTACCATAAGCATTGTTCATCCCTCCAAAACCTCCGCAACTAAAGCTTGGACTTACGGAAACTATTTATTCACTATCTTATTAGCTGTATTATCAGCCATATTATTATGATATTATTATCTCAGATTGGTCTTGTTTAAATACAATTTAAGAAGATCCCTTTGGCCTTATTCAAAATGCATGTTGGTATCTGCTTTCTTAGTGTTTAATTTTTTCATTTCAACTGCTTTCATCTGCCTGCAAAAAAAAAAAAAAATACAAAAATAATAATGTATGGAACTTTTAGGACATATCTAGTGTGATAGCGTCAAATCGTTTTGGCAGCATTCCACTCTGGCTTTAATGTGTATCTCCCCTTCTGGAATTGTAGGCTAATGATTTTAGGCGCGCAGAATTTTCTGAAGTGTTGAACTTTTTGCAAAAGAGAGGATTTTTGTTCAAAGCAAAGGTTGAGCCCTCCCTCCCCCCCCCCTTAAATTTTTGGTTTCTCTTTAATATTCCGAGTTAAGCGGATTATCCTAACTATGTTGAGATGACAAAACAAAACAATACTTGATATTTTTAGCACTTTGATGTCTTGTTCTACTAATGTAAAATTTTGATAATTCGCCCTTCGGATTAATCCTAAAAGAAGCTCCACCACAAAATATCTTGAGCCAGTCAGACTCTGGTTTATAAAAAAGATGGAACTAAGAGTTTTGTATTTTTAAACAATGGCAATTATATTGTCAAATACTCTGATGTTGTAGCTTACAAATGTGCTTACTGTGGGTACTTCAATCCAGCACGGAAGCAGAGGCTTGTAGCTCCAAAGCTTCTTGATAGTGTAAGCAATTGGGCTGATGATTCAACTCTCAATGCATCAATTCCTGGTAACTACCCAGCTCAAATTTTTATTTTCCCTTTCATATTTCAATTCTATTGATCTTTTAGCTGAAAATGTAGCCTCCGTGAGTTGAGTCTACTCTATTTTTAAGGCAATACAAGGAAAATATTAAATTCTAAAATTAGAGTGGCCTTCTTTTTCCCTCTCTCCTGGGAAATCGGAGAAATCGTGGAAACGAGTCAAATTTATTGACAAATCCAACACTCCAAAGAATGTCCTAAATCATCCATCATTAAAACTTTCAGCCATTGGAAAAGTTATCCTCTTGGAACTTTATATTCATCAGTCCAACACAATAAAACTAATGCTATGCAAAAATGAGATATGCCATTGGTTGGTTTTATAACTCGATCGCTCTATCTTGCCTTTATTGAGATGGATAATCAAAGAATAGTCAATTGTGAATGGGAGTGCCTCATCAATTATTCCCTTTGCTTGAGGAGTAACATAAAATTGAGCGGTGTAACCGACAAATCACATAACTTTTTTTCAGCTTGGTCTCATTTTTTTTTCCTATCGACAAATCTAAAATTTCAGCCATGAGTGTGCAGTCTGGTTTAAGAAAAGAAATGCATTGGTAGGATTTTGAAGTTCTGGTAATAATTTGGCAAAATAGTTTATTTATAATAAAAAGAAAATCATCATAAGTACAGCTGTTTACAAAATGCTTCACCATGAACATTATTAGTTAAATATGGATAGTTTTCATTAAGACTAACAGCGTTTACTTATTTAACGTAAGGATTTCGTAGAACTAATGATGTGAAGTGAAAGTTATTGAAAAAAGTAATTGTGGTAAAATTAAGGTGCTTTGTCCCTATGTGTGTTGAAAAATGAGTGGTTGCTCCTCTGATCCCCACATTTCTAGGGAAGTTTAAAACTTGTAGTCTCTTTTTTAAATGACTCCTTTTTCCTTCTAATATTTTTTGCTTCACAGGGTCAAGAGGTGTTCCATCAACAGCTTTGAGAGCGAATAATCTCTTAGAAGACCAGGGTGGTGAGGATATAATAAGTGATAAATCATCTACAAACTTGAATCGGGTGATGGACGGTGAGTCAAATGGGGAAGCAGTGGGTGAAGTTGGTCATGTAGTAGATAATACATTTGGTGAACATGTTACAAACCCAGTAGACAATGAAATCAGTAGAAAGGTGATCAATGACGATAGCAATAAATTAAATGGTGAAGTCGATAGTGAAATCATATGTCAGAAGAATTCTGCACTCATGGATGATATGAAAATGGAAGTGGATGAAAGCCTAACAGAAAAAGGTAACTTGACATCATATATTTATAGAAAACATTAAAATAGGTTTCTTTCACTATTTGTCTTAAAATCTGATCGTTTCCTAATGTAAACCGTCGCTTTAATGCATCTCTTGGGTTGTTTTCTAAACTCTTCTTTGCAGAAGTGCATTGTCTTGAGGATATAATGGTTTGAAGTTCGCAAAATGCCATAACATTCCGCTGAAACACTATTCCCTTTTGTCTACAACAGTATGCCTACAAGTGAAAGGAAGGGCAAACCTTTAGTCCAGGAGCCTGATAAGTCTACCTGGAACTTCGGGTACACAGCTATTTTTGTAGCCTACTTTTTGTTCTTTGGGTCGCTGAATCCGAATCTGAAGTTTCCTTACATGTATCTAGTGTGCATTTGCCGCCATTTTGAAAAAATTTCCTAAGAAGGCCTTTTTTGCAGTTTTTTTAAAAGAGCGGCTACTCATGAGAAAAAATCCTGGATTTAGTTGACATTTTGAACAGCCAGGCCCGCCACAAGGGGGGGGGGACGTACCAGGGCCCGTGCCGCTGGTGACAAACCACTAGGAATTCACATATAACTCTCGTCTTGCAAGGAAAAGGAAAAAATTTCCCCTAAAAATTTCGCAAATAGTTAATAAATTTTCCAAAACACGCCGGAGCACTTTGGAATTCTTCTACTTTAACGATTTCTATCTATTTTCAAGATTTTTTAGTATAAAATGATATTTTTAGTAACTGCGTTACATTTTCTGCAGTCGCCGGTTACTAAGAGTCTCCAGTCTGGGCATCCTAAACTTTAATGGCTCAACTCCTATGGTATAGACGAAGGAAAGAAGAATCCAGGGGACCTGGCCTTCCCAGAATTGAAAATAGAATCTGCCCCCCCCCAAAAAAAATTCCAGATGTTTTGAATGCAACAATTCGAAAGTATTTTTTGCTGAAAGTGAAAAAAAAAGGCGTAATTACTCTGCAGAAATTGATGGAAAATCTTCATCATGGAAGCTTCAAAATGCGTCCAAATAGATTTAAAATTTCAACAATTTTCCGAAGGAGGCCCCTCGGACCCCCCTCTGTGCTAAGGGCCCGGGCCTGAAAACTGGTACCAGGGCCCAAGATGGCATGTGGCGGGCCTGTGAATAGCTGACGTAAATTGGAAGAAAATGGTACATAAATATGCTAGGTTTGCTGTAAAATTTAAGAAGATACGCATCGTGAACATCGCGCCCATTCACGCTTTCGCGGCGCACCCGTCAACAACGCGCAGTCCGCCAAGCTTTGAAGCGTTCTATAGTTCCGAGCTCCAAGGTTCCTCAATTTTTTAGCAAACCTAGCATATTTATTTACCATTTTCTTCCAAATGGGCCTGTTGCAAGGTGCGGGGATTTGCAAATTGATGCCTTATTCCTATGGCGAATTCCACGAAAAGAACGATGGCGCAACTATAAAAACTTGAAATGACCTCTCAAACTCAAAAAAAGCTGTTTTTGGAACCTACCCATTCGAAACGGTCACTTGAACTGAAAAGAAAAAAAACCTTTTCTTTTAATAACATAGAATAATCCATTCAACATTCTAGAAAACCAATAGAATGAAGATATGAATCACCATGTAAAGGTAATTTATAAATAAACATGCATTCTCTTGCACACTGATTTCTTGTCAAGTATGGTCTGAGTATACATAGAACCTGGAAGTTTCCACTGAATTGACTGAGAGCTCAATACTTTGTTTCTTTCAATTATGAGTGGCCGAAAACCCAATAATTTTGAAAGTAATCTCTGTATAGTCTCATTGCACTTGTAATTTCTACTGAAGGAAAGAAACATTTAAAAATCAAATGCTAGAAGGCCTTAAGAGACATCTTTTGATAAATTGAAATACGTGCTGGTTATTTTCAGGAGATATGATCCTCCGGTCTAGCAATGAAATAGCAGAACTCCAGACTCCATCGAATCTCAATTTTAAACTTGTTTCTCTTGAAATCACCAAGATGATATGTACTTACCGCCAGTCATGGATCGGAGGGTCTATGACCAAAGAGTTCTAGGTAAATGTATCCAACTGCTGTAAAATTTGTGATTTTTTTTTGTTGCTAGATCTGGGCGAGTACGTCTCGGACGAAGAGTCATCATCAGAAACTGAAAGTCCTCTGAAAACTGCAGAAACAGCCAAAGTACACTGATGTAGTGACAATAACCAGATTCTGTAGTCCAGTAATTCTGCGCTCCAATTTCTATTTTCTGAACTTCTCACTCTTATAACAATAATTCTCACAATTCAACTGTATCATTCATTTCTTTTAATCAATTTTTTTTCATGAATCAATCCAGATATATTCTTAATATTTTTTTAAAAAAATATAATTCTTGAGGTGCACTGCTTGTTTTGCACCTGACCTTATGGCTTTCTTTCGATCTAAAACTGACAGTTGTAGATTACTACAGCATAAGGGAAAACTTCGCTCATCTCTGTTCAATTATTGTAATATATATATATATATATAAACTTATTTTAAACTTCCTTTTGTTGTTCATTGTAAAGTAGACCTGTCTTTATTTATATTTTTTATATCAAGTATGCTCTTGAATAAACTGAGTTTTTTGATTTTCCATATACTGCTCTCTTTTTCACCATTGTTTACTTCACTGCAGAGGCAAGTCAAAGATATCAGCATGGAATTTAACATAGTATGACCTTGTTAAACAACTATTTCCAAATAAAATAATCCAACGACTTTTAAAAATGAAGGTAGCATCCTAGTATGAGAAACCTCATTTGGACTTACGCCACATGTCGACACTATTAATGATATCAGGATGCAGCAGCCGTTGAAAAACGTTCCATCTCATACGTCATTTAGCAATTATGTACTTCAACTCATGGAGCTAGCTTCCCAGAACTTATTCGTAGCTCTTATATGCTACTTATTTTGGAAGAAATTCCACAGGATGTATCTTATATCAAGGCATTTCCGGGACCATGAAACAGACATATTCTCAACGAATTTAGTTAGGACTACTTATTGTAAAAAGTCACAAGCCCTTTGACTGCTTGGAATTGGAATTTATAAATTTTGAAAGTCAATCTCGACAGTCAGAAGATGGATCGTGAGGATAGCACAGAAGCTTTGAATTATCTCTTGACAGAATCAGAGTTAAAGGAGATGATTAGTAGAGAAAAAACAATTAAAAAAGAAAAAATATACATATTTATTTACGAGAATAATCAACACGAGTGAAATTTTTGTTGCAAATTTAATAATCTTTACCTACTTTCTTCTGAATTTCGGTACCAGACAATAAAGTTTGCTCGAAGGACGTAACAAGAACAATGAAGATCACTAGTACCCTTAATAATTCTTAAAAACTAATATTCACAGTTTTGCTGTTCTTAGAGGTTTCTGTTTTTAATTTATCACTTGAAATATAACTGATTAATAAGGAGGAGACGAACTACTTGATTTTATTGTGACCTCCCAGAAAAATAGTACCAACATAATATCCAATCGCAACTTCAATTCCTCATTAAAGAAACAGCTCACTTGGTTAAAGATTTAAAATATACAGCTCTGTCTTGCTTTTTAAAACAACACAATCATATAAAATCTATTTGCCTGTTTTCGTAATTAATATCAAGATTTAAAAACGCATCCAAAAGTACTATAGTGTAGGCAATAGTTACTTCCTCAGCAAGAAGGAGATGTAATAATTTCTAAAAACTGAAATTGAAGAGGAAATCAATTTGATAAATACAACATTTGGTTTGACTGATCAATAATTTTGGAGTTTCCAGAATTAACTTTATCTCTTTTTTTCGTTACATGAAAATACAATTAAAAAGTTCAGCTGATTTTGTTTTCAGGAGACACTATTTTGGGAGAGAAACTGAAGAATGGCAATGGAGGAGGTATGTTGATCCCTTAAAACTAAACCTAGGCTGAAGCATAGACAAGGAAAGAACAAGACGGGAGAAGGAAAAAATCAAATAAATATTCCGAGCAAAAAACAGGGAAGAGAGGAACAATATAAGTTAAGGAGTAAGGAAACACATCCGGCAAGAACTAAAACACTGACTGAGGATACGAGAAGCGTAGAAACGAAAACAGAAAAGTCCCAAAGTGTTTTAGGCTCGAATTTCAATATCACAAAAGAAAAGACTTAGAATAAATAGAGCCCTTGAACGGACTGACATTTAAAATTCCGGCTGTCAAAACTTAGAGAGACTTCTGCAAAGTTTTGTAGCAAACAAAGAAACAAGATTAAAACTCTCAAACACTGCAAAAGTTGAAAGAAAATACATCGAATTACTGAGAAATGAAATGATAGCTCCAACCATTTGGAACTAAGTTTTTGTCATAACTTTGAAAAGAGAAAAAAAATTGGCTACCTTATTGTAAAGCAGATAAGCTGCAATTGTAGAATAAAATACTCAAATTCTGAAGTCAGTATTGTTCTATTCATTTCAATGAAGTATAAAATTATGCATTGCTAGTCAAACTTAGATTCGAATCTAATTTTTTAAAAAAAGTATACAAAAGATTATTTAAAAAACTCAGTCTTTTTTATCCCTATACTAGATCATTAATAAAAACGACAAATGCCAAAATGGCTTCAAATTCAAGGCTGGTTGGTTGCAAGATATACTCTTACCTACTACAATTTCCTTGAAGTTGGATCATTGAAACATTTTTGATTCTTTGCCACAAAACTAAGCAAAAGTTCCACCCTTGAGTCAGAAAATGGGGAACCACAGAGGCGTTAGCGTAAAGATGGAGAATATAGACCCATTACTTAGGTTGTAAGCAAAGGATCTTCTTTAAGGGACAAGATCAGTGATTTGTTACTACAGACTCAAGGCATGCAGGCATCTCGCCTTCAAATGGTATCTTATGCTGCCTAATGACTCTAGCTGCTAAACATGACAGCTTGGTGAAGTGTAATTCATTAACTAGCTGGTGTAGCGGTTGACCAGCGAGAAGGTCTTTGAACGTTTCTCCTGCGTGATTGACGTAATCTAAGTGAGCACCCGCCTTGAGTAAAGCTTGAACTAAATCTACAGGGATAGGGTCCGCTTGAGCTGCAAGATGAAGAGGAGTGTTTCCAGCCCAGTCGCGTGCATTAACGTCTGCACCAACAGAACAGAGCAGCTCCACAAGGGGGGTTGATGGAAATCGGCATGCTGGGTATTTTCCGACAACTATTGCATTACTACTACAAGCTAGATGAAGAGCTGTGCAGCCATTTCTACCTACTAATTTAAAGGAAACTAACGAGTATACCATTTGCCGCACTTGATGTTTTTGTTCCTCTGTCATTGTTGCAAGGATTTTAGCCAAAAGACAAGCTAGGTATAGAGATATTGCCAACACTCGATGGACATGTGCTAAGTCTACAACTTTCATTTTCATTCCTTTTGACAGCTCTTCAATAGCCTTACTAAAGACATACATGACGTCTTGAGGATTTATTATGGCACTAGGTCTGTTGCGGGAACTAGTTTGGGCAAGGCTCTGTTCCTCCATCATGAACGAGAACAGTTCGGCAAAAGAGAAAAGAGAGCTTTGTGTCATGGGATTCAGCGGTTCTAGCAAGGTTTGTTGCATTTCCAGGGCATAGTTCCACAGTGAGATTGTACGGGAAAATTTTCCCACGTCAGCATAGACAGCACCTCTGTAAAAAAAAAAAAAAAAAAAAAAAAAAAAAAAAAAAAGATTTACGCGTTTAAGTAACTTGAGAGTGACTGGAACAGTGGAACATGTTATACAGAACTATTTTTCACAATATGAGTCTGGAAACGGGATAGAATTTTCAGATATTACTTGTGAGATAGCAAGGACAGCTCTTTAAAGTTTAAAAAAAAAAAAAAAGTGATGATGTTTGGTTTCCTTCCATTAGAATGAAATATGAGAAGAAAATTTAGTTGCACTTCAATTTTAGATAAATGAGGGTAATTAATAGTGATGTTCAGAAAATTAAAACCACAGAAATGTGATATAAGTGATTTAAAAAAATGTTTAAAGAACCCTCCATATCAGTGAGGGCTTACTGACTCTCGATCAATTTTGATGAGCCTTGAAAAGGTCATCATGAAGTTCATCTTTGGGCCAAAGCTGAAAAATTGGGTTATTTGGTCGAGTGGAAACTGAGATACTCGCAATTAAACAAGCATATTTAAGAGGAAGTGACGCAGTTAAATCAGGAGGGATGGTAGGGCAGGAGAGAATGACATCTAGTTCAACTATTTTCACTTCAATATAGGAATACTGACAGGCTCCTTGCTGGTCAAATCTGAAATAGCAGGAGATGTTTAAACAGAATTTACTGATGTGGGGGAAGGAAAGGGTAGGTATGGAGTTTGTAATAGCTGAATCTATGAACACAGAACTGTAGGTACATTAGATTTGGGGGAGAAGGCAAAAAGATTAATTGGAAGGGATGACTTGAATTTCTTCTACCATATATCAGCGATTAGAAAGAAGAGTGCATAGGTATTCAATCGAGAATATCTCGCCTCCTTCCTAAGCAAGTCACCTAATTTCTTGGCTTAGGCCCATTGATGAAAATTATGATAATCTATTAGAGCTGTCAGGGTGTCTAACAAGATTTTCAAAGTGAAATTCCCTGACAATTCCAGGTTTTCCATGACAAAAAATGACAAAATTCCCTGACTTTTTGGGTTTAGCCATACGATGAACTAGTTAGAAAATATTAAAAAAAAACTATCCTTAGGAATGACCCCGTAAAGTCATATTCTGAATTACCATGGTGTTGGAAGGAGTTGAGTAATACTTTTGAAAGGAACGAGATCCTAAATACTCAAAATAAAGCTAATTCCAAAATGGTATACTCAGACTAAAATTCACCTTCAAAATTTAATATTTAAGCTCTACTACGCTCTCTTTGTGACATATTGCCCCGTATACTTTTGAAAATTCGAACTATAGTTCACCCTGGTGATTTCATAAATATTGGCATATTACTTAGTGCCCTGAAAATACAAGTCTCTTTTTCTTAAAATATAAAACAAGAATTGTAAATGTGCCTAACTCAGGTAGATTTTGCTATAATCAAGAGGAAATTAGAGTCTCTTCTCGATTTTAGATAAATTTGCTTGATTCGGGATTTTTTTTTTTTTTAAATTAATTCAATGGATTCCAGAACCTATTGTTGGTATTGAATTTGTCTTATACTCAACAAGCGTTGGCTTGTTAGAATATAATCCACCAATAATATTTCTACAAGATGGATGCACCAGTTGTGAACATGTTGATTTAAGAACCAGAAAAATTTCATGCAAAATGCAGTTGACATTAAATATTTCTTTACTCAGTTAAAGAAAAACTAAAATTCTAGCACTTTCATTAAATTTCCTAACTTATTGAAAAAATTGATCAACCATCTGCTAAAAACTGGGGCACTTAGTTTCCTATCATTATGTACTGTAATTTTCTGCTGTTAGCAAGTTAACTTCATTCAAGTCTATTTAGTCTATCTTGCCATTTAGCATGAATTAAGTAGATAAATTAAATAGGGCAGATCGATTCAATCTTTAAAGTTAGCGAACACACATTAGTGAACCTAGCGGCCGTGTTGCAAACTGGTTGAACAGAGCAGTTTACATTATCAGCCACGCCAGCGCGCTACTCGGTCAATTCGGCAGTGACGAGCAAAAATAGCCGCGAGATGTTCGAATTGCGAAAATTCCCTTTCACCGGTTTTCGATCGAATTCCCTGACTTTTCCCGGTTTTCCAGACAGTGATCAAATTCCCTGATTTTTCCCGGTTTTCCAGACCTGCAGACACCCTGGCTATGTCAAAAGTGTCGAGAACTAGTAAACCCACACGGATATGCAGGGTTTTTGAGATGATTACAGAATCGATGCTTCGAGAAGATAATTTAAAATAAATGAGACATCTTTTCAGACGACCATTTTGATAATTTCAAATTCTGAGAATAAAAATTTGTTACTCAAAAAAATTCTAGAATAACAGTTAACTCTTCAGTTTTCTTTATGTATTCTACACTGCACTATAGAATAGGGGTCTTCAAAAAATAGACAACGAAAAAAAAATCAAGACGCCAAAACAAACCTGAATCGAATATAATAACATGTGTCAGGATGAGCTGGACCAAGAATTCTCTCTCGAATGAGCAGTGCTTGCATGCGCATTTCATCAGGGTCTGAGAGCAAATCATCCAATTCTTCGAAGGTGCGAAATTCACGGGCATGTTCATAGGCTTCCTTTGTTTCTACATCTCGTGGTTTCTCAATTTTTGGCTCCACATTGTACCTGTACTCACAGTGTACAAATGAATTACATTTTTGGGTAAGTTTAAGTCGTCATAGAGCATAAAAAAACAAGTACAAGAAAAGCAGCAGCCAGTAAGTATTTAGGCTATGCAACCAGCCGTGACTAAATGAAGAAACATCGAACCAAGATATACAATTCTTGTCCAACTTTAGGCTTCAGTTTATTTTCAGAGCAAGTATTTAGCTATGCAACCAGCCGTGACTAAATGAAGAAACATCAAACCAAGATATAAAATGCTTGTCCAACTTTAGGCTTCAGTTTACTTTCAGGGTTTGAATATTGCCTCAAAACTGAGATTATTTATTGTCTAATTTTCATTAATTTCTCTCTAATATTTCTAGGGCGTTGAGAGCACATTTAATGCATGGGTACACAATAAAAAAGAACTAAACTAAAAATGATTTAGCTTCATTGTATTTTAATTTAATTTTTTTTCCATGTGGCATTTAGCAGCTTCTGATAATGGACCACTAGACAAGGTACGAATTTAAGCAATCTGATCCATGTTTCTTTACCAAAATTTCACGTAGAACACGATTCACACAACGAAAATTACTTAAACCATCTCTTAACGAAGATATTAACGTTTTTATTTCACATCAGTTATGATGAATTTGAACTGCCCGCTGACAAGAAACTCAAAGATCTACGTGAGTCAAATCGCGCACTACAACGGTTTCAACAAGCTTCTCAATCGAGTAATGTTCATTTCCCTCATGTGTTGTTCAAACTATAAGCAATTTGCTACAGCTGAGCCAAAGCGTCAAGATCGAGGTTGCTAGATTTTTATATCGCAGAGAATGTAATGATTATGTTTAGCGCTCAATGTGAATCACGTAGAGCATTGAGTTTTCATCAGCGGGTGGTTTAAATTCACGCATCAAGAATCATTAAATATCTTCGTAAGGAGTTGATTGCGGTAATTTTTGTTGTGCGCATCGTGTTCTACGTGAAATTTTAGTTGCGAAACATGTATCAGAATGCTGAAATTCGTACCTTGTCTAGTAATCCATTGAAAAGTTTTTTCAACCCCCTGAAATATCTCAGCAAAGGGTTTGGAAGAGGATGGTCAAGAAAATACAAGGTGTCCCGGAGCACCCGTATAAGGTCTTTTTCTCAGTTGATTTATGTCAGACAAAGTCGGCGACCGCAGAGTAGAACAGGGAATCGACTCCAAGGAATCTGAATTTCATGGTCTCGAAACCCCCCCCCCCTCAGCCCTCCTTGGGGTATAAAGGGGAGGAGGATGGGGTCACGATCCTAAAAGTCGGGGTTCTCGATCGAATTTTGATTCGATTTCATTAGAATTGAAAAGTACGGAAAATTTTACGTGAAATCGACTCTTATAAATCCAAAATTGGACCACTTTACGCCCAAAAATAATCCCTTGACGAGGGCGAAAGCGGCCCCTTCCGTCAGTTTCCCTTTGGTCAAAAATTGACGCAGATTCTCCAGATAAAAATGGTTCAACATGTAGCCGACCCAAGGAATCCGATTTTTATGGTCCCAAGGCCCCCCTAGCCTCCCTTGGGGGGAGGGAGGGGGGGGGGTAAAATGGGGGCACAATCCCCCCGAATTTTGCCTTCTCCATTTATCACCCCCTCCCCCACGGGAGGCTAGAGGGGCTTCGGGACCATAAAAATCGGATTTCTTGGAGTCGATTACGTGGTAAACTAACTTTATCCCCCTCTTGAAGGGATCCGATTCACGTAAAGTGTTCCGATTTTGGATTTTTAGGGGTCGATTTCACATGAAATTTTTCGTACTTTATAATTCTAATGAAATCGTATAGAAATTCGATCGAAAACCCCGACCTTTGGGATCGTGACCCCCTCTTTACTTCCCAGGGGGAGCTGGGGGGGGGGGGGGTTCGAGACCATTAAATTCGGATGCCTTGGGGTCAATTCCGCATTCAACCCCGCGGTCGCCAACTTCGCCTGGTTCGACCTGAATCAACCGAGAAAAAAGCCTGATACGGGTGCTCTGGGACACCCTGTATAGCAACGAAGAGCGAACAGCAAGGACACTCCTCTGATAACTTGCAGGGAAAAAATATAGATTCCTCAATAAAATTACCGACTCCTGTTGCACTTACCTTTCTTCCATTGCACGTCTCCAAAGCTTGATGGTTTCAAGCATGTCGCGCATTTTATCAACGTAAGTTGTTCCAAGTAATTCGAGGGCGTCTATACGTTCTTGTCTGGTGACCAAGCTAGGAGTTCCTATTAAATACTCCACAATACTTGCATGTCCTGTGACACATGCACCTAGTAGAGGTGTCATACCTGCAGATCAAATCAGAATAATAACATGAACAATAAAATCGTTGTAGTAATGATAATGAAGAAAATTAATGCGATGCAACTTTCAGAGGGGAGGCTACTTAATAACTTAATAAGACTGCAAGGGTCATTGATCATAATTTAGAAAAAGCTACCTGACTTCATTCTCCCATGAACTAGAGTACCTATATTGAGAGAGTATGGCCACTAGTGTTACCACCTCTGATTGGCTCAGCCATCTTAGGCTGAATGGAGCCCTTAGGACCCAAAAATGGCGGACGCCATAAATTAATGTAATGCAAAATGACTCAAAATGTAGTTTTCTTTGCTTATCGTAACGAGAAATTTACCCAAATGCACTATTGCGACTTCTTTACATATTTTTGAGGCTAATCGTGTGCAATTTTCGAGAAAAATTATGTTAGATGTAGTATAGTTAGCAGCAAGTGCGATTGGTGATAACCGTCAAAAGTTGGCAATGACCCCCCTCCCATCCACAAAAACTAAAACAAAGCACCGCCATTTTTGGGTCATAAGTCTCTCCATGGGGCCCAGTGGCCATACTCTCTCAATATAGGTACTCTACCATGAACGGTTGGAACTATGCGATCTTATTAGCTTAAGGCTCATGTGTAAAGGCACATTAATCACTTGAGCTAGATGATTACTAATTACCTAACATTGGAAAACTCTCACAATTAGTGGGTAATGCTTTAATTGAAAGAATTGGGAAGGAAACTTAGAATCTTTTTCAAATCTCTTAACAAAAATTAACGGGTTCATAATTTCGCAGAGAAGCTGTGCACCTAAAAGACTCCTATATTAGATTATGTGCATATTAAAATACCGAGAATGAAAACACGAGTAGAATAATGCTTATATTGATACATACAATGTTTTCCTCCTTTTTTTTTCCTCTTTGATACGGGCAAATACTCTTAACACGGTGGGGGCAATGCTTCAAAAGTATTATAATAAAAAATAAGTTCAACTGAAATAATACACAGACACAAAGTATTCTATGGCAATGCTTTTGATAGGGCTACAGGCGAGATAGACCCGATTTTAAATTTGAAAGCATATTGCAAGCTAGTTCTGCTCTGCAGGGTACCTATGCTCTGGGTGAAACTTAATTTACATACGTCACTTTCTTCAAAGACATGTACAGTAAATGATCTTATTGACTCGATGAAATATGAAAAGATTAAAGATATAATATTGTTTAAGTGTCTGATCTAATACATCTAAAATCAAAGATCTAATACAATCGCAGATAAAAAAAAAAGAAAAAAAGAGAATTATTAAGAGTATTTTTATACTTGGATCATGAAAATTTTATTTCAGATACTGATTTAACTGCCATAGAAAATGAAATCGAGATGAATATCATACCATAGGCATCAACATCCATTTTAGCACCACGCTCGATGAGTAATTTCATGATGCTGAGGCTGCCAGACTCGGCGCAGTCGTGCAGTGCAGTGTTTCCTTTGACACTCTTGAAGTTCACGTCCACATTAAGCGAGAGAAGATACTTGGCAATATTGTAATGTCCCTTGTAGCATGCAATCATCAAGCAAGTGTGTCCATGCCTATTTGATATACTTGCATCTTCAACAAAAGCAAATTACTTAGGTACTTCGATTAGAATTTTTATATCAGTACAAATTTTTAAAATTTCAATTTTACAATTAATTGCAGCCTTCACATTTTTAATTTAACGGACAGCTTCGCATACGAGACATTAAACTTCATCAAAGAGAGCGGGAGGGAGGGAGAGGGAGGGAGAGAGAAAGAGAGTCTTTTCATTTATTTTGAACGGACATCTTGGAGAGCTGGCAGGGGCGCCAGGTTAGATTACTGCAGGGTAGGGAAAGCAGGGAAGTGACGGGATTTTTTTGTGTGCTCATTTTCTCATTTAGGAAACGGCAGAAGAGCGCGAGGGGGGGGGGGGCGCTAAGGATTATGTAGTTTTTAGGGAGAGGGGAATTCTAGCAGTGGATGACGGTTGAATACAATGAGGGAGGGGGTGGGTGGGTCGAAAAAATTGAAAAAATGGGTGATGTAATTTATGGACGGCCTATTACAAACGAGGACTTGTATGTAACAATAGCAGATGTCGAGTTTTCACATTGTGAGAAAATCGCGTTTGAGGTTTTCGAAGCTTTGCACTTTGCCGCCCGTAGAACTGAGAGGATTCTTATTAGGATTTTCATGAAGGGCAACTCTTCGCTGTAAAAAACCAGCGTTTTACACACTTTATGTAAAAAAAGAAAACAAAATTGAAAAATTGAAGGAGCAACAGCGATGATTTAAAAAAATTGGGACATCCGCTATTTTTACTGATAATATTTTTCTATGCATGAAACTAAGTCTTCAGGAAGGGTAAGACTGCTGAAACGATTGAAATGAACCAAAAGTAAGTCAATGCTGAGTCATTTGTAGGTAACATTAAACTATAAGGAAGTCTCCAAAATTTAGAAAACTTTTAAGGCAGCATTAATTCCACCTCATATGTTGAGTATTTCCAAGTCTCATCTTTAGTATCATCTTCTATTTCACATTTTCAAGTGTCGGTTGCACTGTGTTCGTTATGTGATCGACACACTTTGACAGGGTCGTCACATTCGGGTGGACCTCCAGCGGTCCCGCGGGCAGAGCAGATACCTGATTCAATGGCTTGTTTATCAATCACTATAAATTTGTACTGAATCAAAATAGTTCGTGCCAAAGCTGGAAAGAAGAAGTTCATTACCTTTAAAATGAGGTAATGCAATCTTGTTAAAATTGGTGCACTTTTATTATTAAGGTGTTGAACATTTTAGCTATTCCTTTTATCGTGAAATCACCCTCATGCGTTAAATTTCACCAACATTTTTTAAAACTTTTGAGAGTGCATTCAGGAGGCTACAAAACGCCTAGAAACAGTGATTCCAGATTTTGAAATTGTTCACTCCAAGCCTAAAACATTCACACGTTGCAAATGTTTTCGTTCGGTTTAGAGGTTGCGTTCTTCTCTCTAAACTCCCCTTTGTGCCGCCGCCCCCCCCCTTTCGTGTAAAGCCCCTCAGTAGGGTAGCATAATACTGCCGCATCAACAAGACCACTTGAAACGCGTCTGGATCTCCAAGGGTTCAATTCATAATTTCGAATAAAATTAATAAATCTCAAATTTTGTGAAATTTATTCGAGCCTTTGGAAATTTCACGTTCCATCTCTGGTCGAAGCGTCGGGGGTTTGACGTGCGGCGATTTCGCGACTGGGCGAGTGCGAGCGGTAAGTCATGAGTCATGGGTCCCGGGTCGGAGCCGGTCGGTGAGACGGAGACAGGAGTCACGGTGAGTCAAGATCACCGAGTTTTTGTCTCACTCCGAGTTGGATCGTTGGTCTCGTTCGGGCGTTGTTCATTCCATGCGATGGCGATGCTGATGCCAATGATGCCGTGCCCGTGCCGCAGAAACACACGGCGAGTTTCTTGACTCGCCCGTGTCCGCGTCTTCCGGACTTCTCACCATTGGCTCCTTCTCCCGCCAACATCGTCGCCGTATCGCCACCGCGGGAGAATTTCGGAGGGAACCGGTCCGCGAAACCGCGCAACACCCCGCCATCAGTTCCATCCAAGCTTGCGCCCGACTACTCAACAGCTAAACCAGAGATGCAAAGAGAGATTTCACAAAATTTAAAAGTTGTTCATTTTTATCGGGATTTTCAATTCGGAAAGTCCGGAAAGCGTTTCAGAAGGTCTTTCTGTTGATGCGACAGTATCATGCTACCTTACAGAGGTGCTATACACAAAAAAGGGGCAAAAACGGGAGTTTAGAGAGAAATATAGACCCAACCCAACCTCTTAATAAACCAAATGAAAATATTTGCAGCGAGTGGATGTTTTAGGCTTGGGGTGAAAAATGCCAAAATCGAGAATCACTGTTTCTAGGCGTTTCTTGGCCTCCTGGATCAGTGTTCGAAACTCACAGGCGCCATCACGCCTAAAAAAGCGGCCATGGCGCCTAAAAAATGAAGGCTCTGCGCCAACGTGGCCCCTAAAATCTGGATTTTCACAGGAAGTCATATAAAAAAAGAAAAACAAATCTATTTGAATTGAAAAAACTCAGAATTTTCAGCACTACAAGTGAAAACTTGCTTTTTCTATTCTTCACGATTTCATTCTTAGTGCTTTTGTCTTCCCCAAGTTACAGCTACTGACTAGTTCTGTTACAAAAACATCTTGCGTCTAACTTTTCACTAAATGCGCCGTAATATAAGGCTAAAAGTCAATTTGGCCCCTAAAAAATATTCGATGGTGCCTAAAAATCGGGCTTGAAGCGCCAAATGGCTCCTAAAACTCAAAGGTAAGTTTCGACCACTGTCCTGGATGCACCGCCAAAAGTTTGAAAAACTTTCATGAAATTTCACGCGAATTAATCCCAAGAAATTTTCCATCTCTGAATTCAACACAGGGCGACAACGCTGCCGATCGAATCGTCACAAAGTACACAAAATGAGCACCGTGGGATCCCTAGATAGTCCGCAGAATTGGAATTCATCCGCAGCAAACATTAGAGACAATACCAAACAGTGGCGTGGTCGGGAATTTTTCATGGGGGGGGGGGGGAGGAGGAGGAGGAACGAGGAGAGGAAGGTGCCCGACGGTACAACGTACCTGAAAAGCAGAAAAAATTTCATTTCTAGGGAAAATTATCCAGTCCAGGAGTTCCAGCGGGCCGATTATTGAAGTTGATAGACAAAGAACGAGACAAGAGGAATAGAGGGAGCCTCTTGGTAGAAGCGGGTGGTCGCGATGGACAAAAGAGGTAGGTAATGGCAACTAGCCCGCAAGCCCC